AAATCCATTTTGTCTGTCAAAATGCATTTCTGATGAGATCGGAAACTCGAGATCAGAAACTTCAAAAATTCACCCCTTGGCGTATTATTTTGACAATATCGATTCTTTTTTATCTTGACAATCACAATATGACTGCTGTCGGCCGTCAAGAGTGATGTGCAACGTCGAATTTGGAATCCCACTCCCAAAAACCCTCGAAATGACGGTCTTGATTCGGTAATTATGACAGCTTTCAACCATCGACCATTTCTGATATCAGATTCGGAATCGGCAATGTAAAAAACTTCTTTACCTGCAACATTATCCAAGATTTCGTGTCGCTTCGTCAACATGACACCGATTTGGCAGCTGACAACTGTTAAATTGTATTTTTGACCTCAGATTCGTAATCAGCGACCCCGAAAACGTAAAGACCATAGAGGAACTATCGATGTGTTCTCGTGTAAATCTGCGCTTCAAAAAGTTTTTAGAGCCTATATAATATTATTTTTAAACATGTACCAAAACAGTTAAACGTCAGCTACGGAAATTACATTTTTATTCATACGAATGTTGCAGAGAAAACCCACACTAAATACATCCCACGTTTCCAATGGTGAAAAGCCAGTATTTGTCCGAAATCATCAAAATATATCATTCCGCTACAAATCCACTTACCCTTCCTGCCCATTCATTGATCACAGGTAGAAAAACCAGCGCCTGATTTAGAACAGGCAACCGCTCTATTCAAAGCGGCATCTTCCGTTTCCTTTCAGCGTTCTATTGATCAAACTGGGACTGACGTAAACGACGTGACGTTCCAGACGCGTTTAAATAAACAAGTGCTGTGAGCAGACACAGACGAGTGACCCATTCAAGAAATTTTTGGCGTATGTAACACTCCGGTAAGTAAAGATTGTGAAAGGTGTACTCTATTGGAATATATTTAGTTGCATTTGCACCGTATGATTGTAGTTTGATGTGTGTAATTAAAAGCTGTTTTTAAATATGTACTTTATTATTTTTAATACACTTTCTTGTTAGATAAATCCTTTGGTGTCACCGCATAGAGATTAAAAACTAACTAGCTACGTAATTCCTACTTTTTTATACATCAAAACTTTACTTTGCTTGAAACTAAGCTATTAAATTCTAAGATTGAACCCTTATGCTAAAGACTTTTTACCTCTGAAAACAATTTGTATATAAAGTTTAAGTTCGCTGAAAACTCTTCAAAGTTAAACGAAGTAAATTACGATTCTAGACTTCAGTCGACTAAATCCAGATTAAATTTCAGATTTTCAATGTGAAACTTCCTCTTAGTTGAAATATATTATCACCGCTTTATCCGCAGCATATTTAATCTCTATGTTTAATGAATAAAAACAGTATATTATCTAGTGTTGCCTAAGACTCATATCTTTCATAAAAAATTTGTATAGAGCAAACTACACTTAATTTTTGATAGGGAATACATTCCTGCATTTTCCAAATTTAAAGTGAAAACACCCTGTATATATTTTGCTCAAGAGTAAAGTACCTTTATTTTTTACAATATCCACAATCGTTATTAAGAAAAGTTGATGCTAATAGAAAACTACGGTCAGATATCCAATGGTATTCTTAATATTTGTCCCACCCTATAAATTCGCAATCAATACATCCGCTTGAAGCATCTAAACGAGTATAAAGCTGTGCGGAAAACCATTGTAAATATAGAAGGTATTATGTTTCAGTATGATTACATTCTTATGAGCTTTTTTAAAGTAAACGCGGGGCGGTGTGAAAACAGTCCAACATCCTTTTATGTCTTGGTTAGAGTTTAGATTAGCATCAAGAAGCGCCGTAAGAAACAATCACCTAATATCCATTTTCACTCGCCTGAAAGCTGAAAGGAGAAAATGAGTACGATAATTCGTCGTTTACTGAGCTTATTTCATACTCTCAGTGAAAAAAGAGGTTTCTTCTTTTCAGCCATTATTTCAGTGGCGAGGTAATGGTCGTACTGAAAGCCTGGTTCTTTTCAAGGTATGTTTTAATGCAGCATTACTTAGTGTTTACTGTTGGCGGAAAAAGAATGCTGAATGGGTTTGATAACTGATCAACCGTTTCATCTGCACAACTGAAAAGCATTGGCGGCAGATATTTTTTGTATTATGGAGACTTCTTTTAGAACAATCCATAGACTAACTTTTTGAAATCAGTACAAGCCACTGTTCTTAAATAAAAACTAGCAACCTTTTTTAGAAATCACTTCCGCTAGTCTAGCAGTAATAATTGTACGATTATGCAACCAGTTATACTTTGAGTACAGAACGACTCAGTTTTTCATAAAAGTTACTTCTCTATTGTTAGACATACAAAATAATATAAACCAACATTTCCTATCATGCTTAAATTAGACAAATTACTTGTTTATACAGTTTTTATTATTTACGGGGTTTTGAAACCTAAATTCTCAGATACCGCACGACGGAACAATGTCGGGGAAACCCAGTACTTTTCTCGGTACAAAATTGAAAAAAGCATAATTTTATTAGGACATTTTGTTAATGAAAAACAAAATAAATGATTTCGTATATTTATTGGTTAATAGTTACTACACATTATCTAAAATGTGATGATGCTGTTTTATAAATATCATAATACGTAATAACTTGACAGTGTTTTTTGGTACTTAAGAGTACGATTAGTTTGCAATAAGGTAAAGTGATATTTAAAAAATGTGTATCCGGTAGTGAGATTAGAAACTATAGCAATATTTAAAAAGTCTGATAAAGTCTGATATAAACCGATAGGTATGTGTAGATAAACATAATAATGGACCAACAGCATACCTTTAAAATGTATATAAAAATGTATGTTCATTTTGTGAAATCTTGCGCAATGTTTAACGACATATTTTCATGATTTATTAAATGTAAGTCATTATCTCATCAGTCACGTTGATCATATTCGTACATTTTCTTTTTATGGACATATAATCTGAGCGAAGTTTGTTGAAATTCACTAAAAATCATGAGATGTTAAATTTTATTTTGAGATAAATTAAGTTTGTTCTTAAGTCTCTCATTATTTATGAAATGCAATAAACTGATTTTTATAAAAGAAAAATTTTATGTTTGGTTTATTTTTTCAATTTTATTGTTTTATCGTATAACATGAAATAAAACAATAAACATTTTTACTATTGAAATATATGTATAAGTATCTGAACAAATGCTGCAATAGAACTTCGAAAACGCATTGATCCTTTTTTCTCTCTAGGGTATCTTTGTTTGTTGAAGGAAAAACTCATATTCAATTATAAAACAGTGAAAACGTTAAAAACATGTATTAAAGTTAGGTTAGTGACCGGACAGTACGGTAGGTCAAGATTCACTCTCGATGCAAGTCAGCAGTCAGGAATAGTAAGAAAAGAGGTTTTAATGATTTGAAAAAAATTTTTTTCAGTGTAATATGCATTTAAATTTTTTTTCATCGTGTGTTCGTATTCTACTCCCTTTTCCCCTTTCTTCCCTTAAAATTAATTACATTATGACTGAAACAGCCTGTACCTGTACATATAGATTTTCCAAATCAAATTTTAGGCATATCTTTTCCAAAAATATGGAATGCATTGAAATTTCGTCATTATTAGTTTCTCACCAGATGGTCTAACATATGTTAGAGGCCGCTAGTTACCATCTTAGCCATTCATTGACATATTTGTGAGGTTAGGTTTTTTGTGATGTTTGTTGTATATTCAACAAGTTAAATTATTTTATATAAAGAGGTACCTTTGTAGAAATTACTTAAATCGCACCGTTTTTTTGCGAAAAAGGGTCACACTTTAAAAACCCGACTTAGATGAAGTTACCTTAATACAAACAAGCTTCTGGACAGTCAGTTACGTTTTTCACAAAAATATATGATTTCAACAGGATTTTTTATATATTTTTATACAAAATGAAATTTTACACCATAATGTATCACAAAAACCATAAAAAAACCTAACCTCGAAAAAGTAATGTCATAAAATGGCACTAGGTAAGGTTATAGTATGAATATGGTCCAAAACTATTAACTTTTCAATTTAATTATCTAAAAAAAGGTGTTATTGTAATTTTTTTAACTCTGCTTAGTTTTTAGTTATATTGAAGAAAATACACCCCTTTCATCCAGTTCTCAGAAATGGACTCCTAAATTTAATCGCATTTAGTGATTTTATCATTTTAAGGTAACCAACAAACGGACAAACAATAAAAACCCTTTAGCGCAATTGATCCTTACTTCCTCTTTTTTTGTCCATAGTCAATAGCCTATAGTCAGGAATACAAGTCATAATATACAGTGTGTCTCAGGTCTTAATCGGGAAGAGATATGTACAGAAATATAAATTTTTTTAATTTTACCATTATATCTCGAAAACGAAGCTTTAATGCAAGTTCATATGAACTTTTCTTTTTATTTTTGAGAGTTCGACGGAATTTTTCCGATTAAAACCTATTACGCCTTGTATAACTAAAATGTTTTTATCTTCTCATTTAGTTTTATTATATGTTTATATTTACAGTTTTAGTTTATCTAAGCTGAACCCAAAGAAAGTATTTTTATTATTTTATTTGTATTGTTTGTAGCAGATAAGTTTTAAAAAATTTATGGTTTTTTTTTAAATATACAGGGGTTCCATTTAAACTAAGAAAGGTAGTATCGACTTCTGGTATAACCGGAAGTGCGATGACCTTGAAAATATTTTAGCTTGGTAGGGTAGGCCCCACGGCCCGTATCACACCATCACAATTTCAAAAAAATCCTTAAAGTGGTTTCCCAGATATCCATCGATGGAGTTCGTGGTGGTACACCCTGTATAGTTCTGGTTGATTCGTGAGACAAATAAGAAACGTTTTTTCCCATGTTTTGAATTTTTAGCTGCTTTGCCCCGAAAATTAAACTTGGCAGCCCTACCCTCGCTCCGGCCCTGAGCAAAAGCCGGTGCAAACGAAATGCACTTATATGACATTTTTTTTCTCCTCTTTCAGGCGAAGACGAGCTGCAACTACTCCGGTTAATTGCAGCATATGCGTCCGCCAGCTGGGATTCCCTCCGCGGTGCTCCCCCCGTTCGTGACAGGCCGTGAGTAACGCCGCCGCGTTCCTATCGACTCCTCGGCCACCGCACACACAAACCCACTTTGGCGCTTGGCGCGTAGTTTCGCCTCGGCTGCAGCGTCATGTCTAGCACAAGTCCCATCGATTTTGTGAACTTCGACTTCACGTGCACCACTATGGAAGCGTGCTTCAACGCCTTCGACAAAAACTGGTAAATATTAATTAGGTTTAGTGCCTCGCTTTGCCCGCTTTCCGCCATGTGCGGCCTCTGCCGGCTCCGTACAGCCGATCCGCCTGTGTTTACTTACGATATAAGTGTTTGTATCGTTTTGGTATTTTAACGTTCGTTATCGCCGCTCGCGGAATTATGTAAATCGACTCGATTTTTACCGGCGCTGTCTATGAACCCGCTCGTTGGTTCCTTAAGGTGCCTACGTTTCGTGAATGCACACACGATTTGAGGCTTGCATGATTTAGTTCATATAAAAATAAATGAGAAAGTTGCAAAAATGCACTTACCACTTATTTATGCCAAAAAAATGTGTAATAATTATTAATATAAAAACACTTAGCTTACTGAAATAATTGTTGAATAATGCAATCTTTTAAAGAAATATCTTGTATTTTGGCAAGGGTGACCTTGTAACAACAAAAACGTAATTTTTTATATTTATTTTGGATAACTATTAATTATAAGTTGTTACGATCTCAATTGATACCGCGTAAAAATATTTAACTCATAAATTCTACAGAATCCATAGACGTCCAGAAAAAAATAGCCCTGTCTCGTCTAGATATACTATATTCCGAGCTATATTACCATATAATTACCATACGATTGTCAATTTTTTTATGTTTAAAATCGCACTGTAATAACGCATGTCGTAAAATATCTAAAGATTTATTATTATAATCAGGATAATCGCTTAATTTATCTCGAATCATTTTTAAAGTAGGAACTTTATTTTCTTTATACATATTATAAATTGTACGCCGCATTACATCTGGTAAAATTGTCAATTTTCTTTAATTTTGTATTTTTCCGTTTCCTCTTTGTACTGTGATCAATCTTTCTTTAATTACGCGATAAATTGGCCTATTTGTATATCTTATTTAATTCGTTAATCCGTTTCCTAACTTTATCATCACATTGTTCACTATTTTCAATTTTCAACCATTCATATATATTTAATATAATACTTTGACTTTTTACGTGTAAATCTTTGTTTTTAAACTCTGAGTTTGTTTCCATACTTTCGACAAATACCGGTTCCACTATTTGGGGATTATCCCAAGTAATTTCATTATCTTCCGCTTCAAAGAGTCTCCAGAGAGCCACGCTAATTTACTAGATAATTACATATAACATTTATTTTAATAACTTACCCTTTACTGGTTACGATATGAACAAATAATAATATCAACTAATAAATAATAATAGATATTATACCAACAACATACCTCGCCAAGCAATGCTCTGCACGGCACTGGCAAAGCGGCAAAGCTAAGTGAACCCGTGTACCATACAAAAAAATATTTACGACCTAGTGGACCAATACAGGTTTGCTTTGATGACCAGCGCGCCGCCGTCAATTCAACATCAGGCGGACTAATTTATCAATACCGGACTCGCCGGACTGCAATTCGAGTGTAAATTACGAGACACATCATGGTCAAAGCATAAGAAGAAATTTCAGAAGAAGTGCATACGGTCCTGTGCTTTAAGATTTATAGGTTCCAATTGACATCGTAACAACTATACTAGCTATTTGCTAATTGTTGCTGGTGTAATTCAATGCTAATTTGGGCATGTATCCCATAAAATAGTTATTTTCTGCAATTTCAACAGTTAAAAATATTGTCTACGACATCTTTTGCGCACCTACATTTTTGGTATTAAAGGTATTGATTTCATGTGATTTTTTTAAACTTATTTGTTAAATAGAGATTAAATACCTTTATAATAGAGTAAAAAATTAATAAAATACATATTTTAAAAAATACAAGTGTCTTCCACTACTAAGTATATTGAAAGCAATTTTTTTTTGTTTATTTAGATTAGATAATAACGAATGATATTTAAGGAAATTCATTGTTTACCAAAAACTAAAGTTCTCCTAAGTCCTAAGATATTGAAATACACAATTTTGGAACGCCATGGCCTGAAATAATCAATCAATAATTCTTTTTATATTTACCTTGAAAATATAAAAATTAAAACATCTTTCAGGTATGAAGCGCAAAATAGTACAGGGTTAACATACTACCCTCTCTTCCCCCATTATATCGTTTTTACTTTCGTACTTTGAAAAAAATGGTTCACACAAACTTGTAAGAAATTTTCTTGTGGTTTCAAAACTTATAACTGAAAAGTAAAAAAACAAGTTATAATTAAAATGCATTAAAAAGAAAAAAATAAATCAAGGATTTCATAAAACCCATAATGTTGTGTAAACCCCAAACCCACAAAAGAGTTGAACATGGCTGCTCTATAGAAGTGTCATTAGCAAAAGTATGATAAATAGACACGTACTATTTATAATCAGTCCATTCATGTTCTTATGAGCGTAATTTCCTTAACTTACCTCTTAAAAAATAAAAATTCCAATTAGAAATAAACTTCGCGACAAGCTTTTAAATAGCATAAGAACATGAACGTACTGTTATAGATAGTACGTGTCTATTTATCATACTTTTGCTGATTACACTTTTATAGAGCAGCCAATTCAACCATTTTGTGGATTTGGGGTTTACACAACATTGTGGGTTTTATGAACTCTTTGGTTTATTATTTTCTAAGTAGTGCATTTAAATAAAAGTTTGATTTTAAAATGTTTTTTTACTTTTCATTTAATTACACCTTTTTAGTTAGAAATATTTCTCGATCTATCCATTTCAAGTAACGCATCTGCTATTAATCGTTGTGGAGTGCCCTCATGAGGCGACAATCCTGGCTGCATCATCAGTTCATAGAGCTTGTCGAGTTATCAAAAATAAACGTAGTATACAGGGTCGGAAAGTACCGATGGCACCTTCCACAAATAAGAAGTGGATCCTATTTGTGGAAGGGCGAAACGGGCGGTGACTATGAGACGCCTTCATTATAGCCATCCTTCTCTATCGCATGGATTTCTATGTCTTACTTTATCGCTCTCACGTAACGGCAGATGGACCATGGGGACTTTCCGAACCTGTTTGTAAAGTTCGTGTTCATGCTATACCTACTAACTGTTGAGGAGTTAGGTCAACCGATAGAGCTTTTTTGTAACACTTAAATAATACAGCAAATTTCATGTATCACCTTTTGAAAATAACTTTTTTTTATAATATCTCGAAAAATAATGATGGAATCGTCTTACTCTCAATAGGGCTTCTGTAGAGAATAAAAAAACCTATAAAATGGTGTTTTGTGCGGCCCGATCGGTTCATTTTTTTACAGAGAAAATCCGGAAAAACCTCTAAAATAGACTTTTTTTCAAAAATTCATAATTCCGTCAAATTTGAAGCTGGAAAAACAATCTTGCGGAAAATTACAGATAATAATATATAGTTTAATGGTGCGCAAGATGGTTTCTTTTCGATGCATAGTTTTTGCACAATTGCATTATAAATTAGGGTCTTTTTTTGCACAGCGTGGCGATTTATCAAAAATAGTCCGATTTAAATTATGAAAACGGCATCTGAAAGTAGACGACAAAATCTCCAATTTCCATATCTCGGATTTTCGTCTGGGTGATGGGAAAAATATGCTAAAAATGCCCTCGAAAGTCACCCGAAACGATCGAAAGTATGCTGCTTCCCCCAGTACCGCTACCCGACTCTGACTCGAGTGTACTTCATGTTAAATAAAAGCAGCAGCCTGCATGTTTTTACATATTCGGATAAAGCGCTTAGCATTAAAAACATATAATTTGATAGGTCCCTCTCTAATAATAAGAGAGATATGACCAAATAGGTCTAAATATGTACAGCATGCTCTATTTGAATAAAACAGGCTTGATAATTGGATCTGGTGGTGACATATTGGATCAATCATTGGTCGTTAAACTGAGATTCACAAACTAAACACGATTATTATAATCCAACTATCAATTTTATTAAAAAAAAGAATAGTTTCTGGGAACAAGTACTATTACTCTTGAACATCTGATCCCTCACATAGATATACCCAGTATACGAAGTAACCAAAATGTGTATTTTACTCGGAATAGAGATTGATACTGAACTTGTAGCTCTCGAAATTATAGCTATGATTAATATAACTATTTTATAACTGAAATTCAACAAATATTTGGAATTTTGAAATATGTTAATTCGATTGGAACAAATTCAGTCTTTCTTAGTAACGTAGGCACCTCAACAATATTTGTACGTTCGAATTTATCGCTGTTTCCGATGTTCACTTAAATTTCTACCCAATTTCTGTGATGTCACATTCATTGCCATGTTAAAATCAACAAAAAGTTTAACGCGTAATTCTTTTTTCCGCCAACAAACATTCAATAAAGAACTTGTCTATTATTCACGCCACAAACATATTTGTTGCCACATTTTGGTTTGTTAATTAATATTTATTTAATAATGATTTATTTTTTCGTCATGTCGGTTGGTAGGACTGTGTTGAATGTTGAATAAATGAATAGAAAACGCGATTTATATTGCGTGCTTATTGCACATGGCATATCGGTGCATTCTTGTGTACGTTTGTAAAATATACGAGCCAAATCGAATCGATGTTTATTTTTAGTCCAAGTCAATGTTAAAACAACGTGTGGTATTTGTATTTTACAATGTGGGGTTCCCAGTCTCAATCTAAATGATTAAATGCTGATTAATCGGTTACTGTTAGTGGTATTCTATCCACAATGCAGTTTGTAGCTCTGCGTTTAAATATAAAATATGTCTGTACAGAAAAAATAGTGTGTTTTAATTTGATTGATTGCCTAAGTTTTATCTATTCTTCCTTGGTTCCATCGAGGGGCCAAGGCTATCAAATTATATTTGGAAATACATATGTATATAAGTATTGTATATGACCTATTATTAAATAGGTCTATTTTTGAACGATTTGTGGTTTAATTTCCCTTTTTTCAATTTCGAGAAACCCTAAAAATAGAAGGACTAAATTATAACTTGGTAGAATGTAACAATTTAGTTTATGGCATAAAAGTGCCATAAAATCAATTTTTTTCTACAACCTGATAGCTGGAAGCATAGCTCTACACGTACTACAATTTGATACGCACAGGCGATCGATAGTCCGAAAATAGCCCACTTTTTCTGCGGCTTAACTCGATATTTCACTTTTCTCGCTATTCAACCCAAAACCTGTCGATAACTGTAATTATACTCCCCTTGTAATGGAGTCAACGCCGGTGCTGAGCGGTTCTATAGTCCGCCATGGTACAGGAGCGAATATTACAAAAATTGGTATATACCTCATCTTTAATGACCATAACTAAACATAAATTAATCTCGCATTGACGTATGTTACACATTTAGGAAATAGTACTATTAATTTCGGCGAATTTCTTCTAAAATCTAAACGAAGTCATGTTAACAATGAAATTTAAAGCTTAAAAGAACAATTTCACCTATTCCATAGCTTTGGGTAACTGTTTCCATATTTTTAGGCTTTTTAACTCTTGTTTACAATTCCCTGTATATGAAAAAGAAACAGGAATAACATTTTTACTACCTAATTCTTTTTGCACTTCAAATCTTTTTGAAGAAGATTTGATTTATGTGATTTCCTTTATCTCATTTGGGCTTTTGTCTTCTTCAGAACCATCACCAGTTAGAATCCCGACAGACTGATGAATTCGCTCACAGACACAAACAGAAACAGTTTCTAATATTAAGGGACACTTAAAGCATTTGAACATGTAGATCTACCTTCCAAGAATAATTTTCCTCGGTACAAATTGTCAAATTTGTTGTTAAGTGTCGTGATGAAAAAATACAATGATATCTTTGGTTTGTGGTTATCTAACTTAGATAATGACCTAAGATGGATAACCACTAGCGCCATCGAATTGCTACTAGAACTAGACTCAGGGGAAGATATTATATATGTTGGATTTGTAACGCCACTGGTATAGCGATAAAAGTTAATATCCCGTAACTGCCCCTAAAACGCGACGAAATTGCGGTGAAATCTGTAATTTTATTGCTTTATTTAATATCGCCGTAACACAAGATCAAGTTTAGCATTAGCGTCAAGCTGTTACACTTAAGCAAGTCGGATATTTAAACGTCAATTCGGAAAAGGAAAACACCTACCCGGTAGGTCGTTTCCTGGCAATCATTAGTTGTCACGCGACGCGCTAAACAATGCACTTTTAACCTCTTAACCTTTGCGGAGCCGCTCGATTGGGTTTGCTCTGTGCGAATCAAAATAATGCACCGGAATCGATGGGTTTACGTTGGTGCATGTTGTTTGGCTTCGGGTTCAATAATTCGATGACTAGACGACAAATAGTGAACAGTTTCGGATGTTATCGAAAGCACCAATGGGGTATGATCAGCGTTGCCAGTACATAGTTATGGATTTTTTTTAAGACGCACGATTCGAATGTTTTTTTTTTTAAATATACAGGGTATTTCAGAAAACATGGGCCAACGCTCGGGGACAGATTTCTAACCTAAAAACAAGATTATTTTTTCATATCAACATGGGTCCGATTTCGCTTCGTTCCTTAGCTACAGGGTGTCAAAGTTTTAAAATAAAATTGTTTTTTTCCGCGCATCTAGATTTCCACTTGAGGGAATTAAATGAAATTTGGACAACTAACTATTTACAAATCTAGAATTTTGGAAAAAAACATATTTTATTTTAAAACTTTGACACCCTGTAACTAAGGAAAGAAGTGAAATCGGACCCATGTTGATATGGTAAATAATCTTGTTTTTAGGTTAGGAATCTGCCCCGAGCGTTGGCCCGTGTTTTCTGAAACACCCTGTATAGTGGCCCTATAGATGTACATACTTGCTGAACTGATTACGATGATTCAGTTGATAATTCATAAATTTGTTCATAAATTTTGCTAGGAGCAATATTTGGGAAAGCTACTTTAAAGATTTTTTAAATAAGAACCTAAGCTAAGTAGTTTTAATCCCTTAAAATATCTATATCTCCAATTTTATCTATTTACCTATAATGAAACATAATTTTCCACAAATTGAAAGTTTTAAATCTGTGTAAAGTTTCAGTTTAAATATCTGGTAGACTTTGGAAATGTCTGGAAATAATAATTAGCCAAACTGACTCTGTTGATTACGTTTAGCAAATAGTAGAGGCAAACGTAACTTATTTTCATAATTTTAGGCTTGACCTAATAGTTTCACAATTTTAGACAGAAGCAGACCATAATTTTTGCTGATTGTAATTAACAGTGACAGTAATTTTCAACTTCAGGCATTTTTAAAAAGAAACAAAATTGACAAAAAATAAAAGTGTACAAAAAATTATTCTGTATAATAAATTGATCTTGATTGTCAAATGGATTATTGTAATTAGTTCAGCAAGCACACTTGCTGAACTAATTATTCGAATCATGCCTTTCGAAAAATTTCAGGTGTCTTGATTCTTACAATTATTATAGTTTGTGGCACTGTATTTGGAAAGGGCATGTCTCTGGGTGTAATACAGGGTGATCGAAATTAGTGGGCCATAGTGGTCATTGGACGAAGATAATCCGATTAAAATTTAGTTACCTTAGCACTGTTTTTCTTTATTAAAAAGTATATTCGTATTTCATTTTCAACATATATCTGTCACTTTTCAAGTTATTTTAATAAAATAACTTCAGTTATATGGATAGGAATTTAATAAGTTATAAAAAGAAAACTTTATACCTCATACACATTATTGACAGTCTTCCATCACATCAAAAATATATATCTAGTTACCAACGTAAATAAAAAAGTGCACTTTTCTGGGCAATTTTTAGAAGAAACTTTATCAATAATCATGTAAACAATATTCTAGCACCGAAATAGTTTGTTAATATTTCTTTTCGAATAAATGTGTGAACAAATTAACAATATAAGTAAAACACAACAGAAAATTACAGTATTTCGTGAAGCCTTAGGTCTTCCTATATTGATTTTATATTTGCATAATTAGGTTATCAAAATAAACAGAAACCACAATAATTTAATTAATTTAGTTACTAAGTAACTTCTGCAGAATTTTAAATGAAGAAAAACAACCTTAACCGGTTCTTACAGCTCTTCGATTCTATCTTTATTTTTTTACTGTCGATTTTGGGAAAATTTAAAATTCTTCTTTTCTAGTGATGGATACTTAGATATAGACGAATTTAGGATCCTTTGCCAGGCTCTGTTCAGGAACAACAAGGGGCAGACGTACGAAACGCCCGAAGAGCACCTTCGAGATATTTTTCAGATATTCGACCTCAACCATGACGGCCAAATCGACAAAGAAGAGTTCACATACTGCTGGAACAACTGGATAAAGACAGTAAGATATTTTCACTTTTCCAATGTGAAGATTTAGGGATTTTTAGTTGACCGTGCTAATCGTGCAATGTTGGTTGCATATGCTGGACGGTCATTTGTATAGTATCTCAAGTATGTACCATATTCCCCACTGTTTGTCATATCAGCTTATTCCAATAATATCCTTCAGAACATAGCCTTGAATATACTTAATGACTAACTAAAGACAAAACGACGTTTGGTGCCAGCTGCGACCATAATCTACCGTCTTTAGTTAAAATTCTAGCTGCGTCTCGCGTTCTCCCCTGCTCCATTACTATTCGATGAACCTGTGAGCTTGCCAGGTGCCCTCTGACCTATTCCCAAGATAATTAATTCGTCGGCGAGCCGTGCCAGAGGGTGTTTCAGCACCCATTAAGGTTGTGTACGGGTTCTTAATAACCCGATCGATATCCGAACCAACGGTCGACCTAAATACCATGTAAAAAGGCGGTACAGGAACACCACAATTATCATTGTGCAGCAGTTTTAATTACGAATCGATATCTTGCAGCTAGAAGAAGGGTCGGTAGGGAGGCAAGGGGTTGCTGTGGACGAAAAAGTGGTATTCTGCCAGTTTGTTGGAATATTCATATCCTTAAATAATTACACAAATACAATTACTTGAACTGCCTTTAGTTCTAAGATGGTTTGGTTGAGAAGCAGAAATTTATTGAAAAAGTAATTTTCAAAAGAGTTTGCCCTCGGATATAAAGGCAGCAGCGGAGCGATTTCAGCTCTAATTCCTGCAATATTAAAAATACAATGAACTTAAATATAAAAAAATTGAAAAATGGTGTGATTCTAAGCGGGCAAAGGAAGGGTCACAAAAATTCTGTTGGCCGAAGAGCAACAAGCCATCAATGTGTTGGACATACTACTCACAATTAGTGTTAGAAGCCAAGACTTCCTTAAGAAAAATTAAGACTTGAGGAAAGCTACAAATCTAGGTGCATTTATCAAAAGACCTTCGGACAGATACAATGCAAAAGATCCGGAATTTTTTCATAAGGAAGAAATATGTACGTTTTTCAGGGAAAATCAATCGTTTTTGTTCATGAACTTTATGATGATCCAATGAAGAAGCCAATGTTAGATGACACTGACTGAAGTCTAAGATCACATTTTATAATCGTGATTCAGTGCACAAAAACGAAAGCAATATCAAATGTATCATTTTTAGGAAATTTTGTTTTCTACAAGTAAAGAAAATGTAGGTTCCGGATCGTTGACACCCTTGAAAATATGCCAAAACTAATCGCAATGCAGTTGCTTAAAGAGCCTCGAAAAACCAACGTACAATAAACTAATGCAAACAATTAAAGGGTTAAAAGAAGTTCCGAAATTTTTCCGTGATTTTTGACAGACTGTATTTAGCTGAAAAATGGTCGTATCGGGAATTAAAAAAAAGCATCTTGAAGCTCTAAGATTCTAGTTTTTAGATCTTTTGGTCGAATTTTTTTAGGAAAATTGTTTTTTTTTCCAGAGAAGAAAAAGGGTAGTTTTCAAAAAAACTGTTTTTAAGTGATTACATCAACTTTAATTTTAATTTGATTAAAAGTTGATGAACAGAAGCATAGGACGAAAAAGCCGAATCGTGCTGGAAACAACTGGATTTTGTTTTTAATAATAATAATAATAATATTAATATTTATTTCAGAGAAAGTACACACTTAAAATGAAGTAACGTAAAACAAACAAACCTCTACATCAAAAAATAGTCTTCCAAACAATATGGTTCTTTCTTCTGTTTTTGTTCAATGTCCGAGATTTTTTTGGAAAATTTTTCGAATTTTTTTTTTCATCAATTTAAACATTTTAATCATGATTATGAAGTGTTTAAGCTCAAAAAACGTGATCCTTTAATTTTTTTCAAACGTCTGACTGTTTTGAAACAAAGAAACGGTTCGCTAGATCGAGATGAAACTTCACAGGGTTCTTCTGGATACCGATATCGAATTGTAAAAGTCATGCTTAACATTAGTCATTTCGTGAATATGTATTTCTAATTTAGCCGTCATTTTCTAAAAAACCATAAATTACCCCTTTTTAACTGTTTCTTAAAATTCGTGTAAAAGATGAAAAAAAAAACTTTTCCGAAAAGTTGCGGCAGCATGTTACAGGAAATTTATTCCTGTTTTCGAAACTGTCTTTCAATTCTCTGTACGACCATTTGTCTTTTCCATTAAAAGTCCGATATTTCGATGAAAAATGGTCGTATCGAATTTAAAAAAAAAAAGGAAACTGAAGCTGAATAAACAAGCTATCTGGACCATGCAATGGCTTAGCTAAAAAAAAATTTTCCAGGTCCGTGTACTCAGAAAAAAATAAAAACTAGAATCTTAGAGCTTCAAAATGTTTTTTTTTAATTTCCGATACGACCCTTTTTCACCTAAATACAGTCTGTCAAAAATCACGGAAAAATTTCGGAAATTCTTTTGTCTCTAATTTTTTGATGGATTTGCGCAAAATAATTCAAAATAGATACGATAAATCAGTTAATAAATAACCAGAGAATGTGTGATGGAAACGAAAAATATTGCGTAGTAAGAAAAAAAAATACTCCAGTGATACAAGTAGAAGGGAACAATTTATATTTTCTTATTGGTGTGATACTAACGTGGCGTCTTCTAATTGAAAAAAAATAATAATACCCAACAATATCATGTATTTCCTCCACTATTTCATTTTCTTACATTTTTAAGAACACCTCTCCTTTTCATATTGTATTAAGAATGTTAACAATTTGGGGAATAAAAGTTCCATGGAATGACAGCGATGACAGAATATTTGGAATGCTCAACATATGTGGAGCACAAAGCTTTTATGTCGAATTGGTATGCGGTTTACATACAGGGTGTCCCATTTTTATTCTGAAAAAATTCAGGAAAAGATAAATCCGATAAAATTAAAGGGACTTTGCTATATAAATTTGTTTCGAAATCTGAACCGTTACCGAAATACAGGGTGTTGAAGTTGCATTTATTTTTTTATTTTTTGTTAATATCTCTTGGAGTTATAAATTAATTGTTCTCAAATTTTGTGTGGTGAATACCACAGTGCACTAGTACTAATACACAAAACCTCAGCTTGACAGAAAAAGCCAGTGGCGTGCATTCCGCACTTATCGATACCTTTTATAAAAAGTATGTGTTACGCCACTGACTGATCTTCAAAATAATAAGTAATTTCAATTGTTCGTGCATTGTTCTGTCAAAAAGCATTTTTACGTTTTCTACATAATAGGCACAGTTACAAAGTAAACCGACATTTTATAAAATCATCCCTGATCTTAATTTTAGCAGAACTCGATCACTATTCCTTATCTAAGAAATGCTGAAGCGCACTCCTGGCTAATTGAATACTATCTGTGATTACTAACAATGATGTTTTTTTTTAAGTTGGAAAAAATTAAAACATTTAAAATTCTTTCAGTGATTTAATAACAATAATTAATTATAAAATTTATGCACATTAACGTTTAATAAACTAAACAAAAAGTGTATCATTAATGTATCAACGAATATTTAAATATTGTTCAAATATTCTCAAATCTATTCTTTGATTTCTGTGCTCTAATGTTCTAATGTTCGTACATTACCAATTTCATGGAGTCTTTGAAATGCATCAGTAAATAATTGAGAATTTGGATGTCGTCTATCAGGAAACCTTCGTCTGTATTCTCGAGATGCCTCCAATGCGTTACCATTACACAATCCGTAACAGAACACAATATCAGCATATTCAGCATTTGAAAATTTATATGGCATTATTAAAGCACTTAATGGTATTTTATAAAAAGCTAAATCCGAGTAATTAATGTAAAAAGTTTTCGTTTCTCAACAAAGAGTGATCATGTCAAGTTTATTATGAAACAAAGCAACTCTGATTTTTAATTTTCTGTCACTACGAGTGAACAAAGTGTATTGCAGCCAGTGGCTTGCAATTTGAACATTTAATATTGTTAAATTAACCAGGAATGTGCTTTAACATTTTTTAGATAAGGAATACTGAAGCCAAATTAAAACAACCTGAGCGTTTCAGTTGTTGATTAAAACAGTTCTGCTGAAATTATGATCAGGGATGATTGTATAAAATGTCGGTTTACTCCGTAACGGTGCCTATTATGGAGAAAACGTAACTATACTTTTTGGCAGAACAATGAACGGACAATTGAAATTATTTATTATTTTAAAGATCAGTCAGTGACGTAACACATACTTTTTATAAAAGGTATCGGCAAGTGCGGAATGCACGCCACTGGCTTTTTCTGTCGAGCTGAGATTTTGTGTATTAGTAGTAGTACACTGTGGCATTCACCACACAAAATTTGAGAACAATTTGTTTATAACTCCAAGAGATATTAACAAAAGATGAAAAAGTAAATTCAACTTCAACACCCTGTATTTCGGAAAGGGTTCAGATTTCGAAATAAGTTTGTATAACAAAGTCCCTTTAATTTTATCGGATCTACCTTTTCCTGATTTTTTTCAGAATAAAAATGGGACACCCTGTATTTATGTTTGACCAGTGAGTTTGAAATTTATCTTGAATTCATTTACTTACATTCGGGCTGGAGTATAGAAAATGTAAACGAATTTTGATGATATTGGAATAGGTTTAAATTCAGTGAAAAATTTTCCACATCACTTGAACTGAGATTAAGTTCCTCTACTTCTAAGAATTAATGTTTTACTGAATCATCCATACCTTTCCAGAATTCTCTTGTACTTTCCCCTAATGTATTTTCAGATATTAAAACATCTGTTTTTCAGATTGTCCGTCCCATTTCCGCCATCCTCATCATAGACGTCCAGAACGACTTCATATGCGGCACCCTCGACATCCGGAAGTGCCCGGCGAAGCATAACGGCGAGGACATCCTCCAGCCCATCAACAATCTCTTGGAGAAGATAGACTTCGACGCTGTGTTCTACTCTTTCGATTGGCACCCCATGGACCACGTGTCCTTCTTAGACAACATCAACCTCAGGAAGTTGCACGAATCTAGCCCGATAACAGTGGATAATGTGCAACTCTACGACACCGTCATCTTCGACGGGGATCCCCCCATGAAGCAGAGGATGTGGCCCCGGCACTGCGTCCAGAACACCTGGGGCAGCGAGCTGCATAAAGATCTTAAGGTAGGCCCGGAAGTAAAAGCGCAGAACACGAAATTCGCGTATCTTGAAGGGCGATTCAGAGAAAATTTAATTTTATAAGGCGTTAGATATTGCATTTGCAGCAGAAATGTTTGTATGCAACGAATAGTAGATTTTTTGTTAATGTAGGAAAGAAAGAACCTTTTTTAAATAGTTTTCCGGATTTTCGATCTAGTTAGTATACACGTGTAGAAAGGTGTCATATTTTTATTAGGAGTTTAGTAGGTTTTGCACTTTAATATGCACCATGTTGCTGAAACCCGACGAAATTTAATTTTAACTTCAATCGTCAACCGTTACAATACATACATTGCAAAAAATGCAATTTGGATTGATGACAGGCGTGGCGTTTTATTCTAAATGTGTGGGAAACTTCCGGTAGAACTTTAATGCGCACCAAAACTCGATGAAATTAAATTCTTCAATTGTAAACATCAACAATACATTCACTACAAAAAAAATGTAACTAGGATTGATGTCAGGTGTGACGTTTTAATCTAAATGTGTGGGAAACTTACGCTAACAGTAACCGTAAGCTATAATGTATTCTAATTATTTGGATGACTTATCAGGAACGGTTAAAAAAATTGCTGTGCTTGAGGATCAGTTCGCCAGGCTACTACATAAACTATCCGGGCAAGTTAAATTGGTTTCAGAGCACAGAGAGTCGCGTGTAAGCGTCTAATGGGTTAGGAATTAGTTTTCGGAACAGGCTTTCGAAGTTGGATAGGTGGTTAATTGGTTGTTTTAAAATGCAATCTATTACCCTAGACGTGGGGGGTCCCTTGGGACTTTGGAAGAACCAGCGTTTCCGGAAACTGAAATTGGCGTGTAATAGTTTCTATATTTTCAATAATCAAAGTTTAAGTATAATGGATTTTGTCGCAGTTTTGTTATTCATAAGTTAGTCCCTAGTTGAAATAATGATTTACTGCTTCGCAAAAATTCCTTTTGTTTGGAATATATGAAGTGGAAATTTTTATTAAAAAAAGCAATCGGTTTGTATAAAAGGCTTTAGCAGAAACTTTATAAGATTCACAAGTATCTCCAATGACGATAAAATACTTGACTTTTTGGAAATCGGCGACACTGAAGCTTTAGTTAATATGCGAATTTTATTTATAATTTCATTTTCTTCCTTTTTTTAAACAATCGTAAATATTTAAAATCAGACGCTGACATTGAACATGTAAAACTTTATTTTTAAATTCTAAATCTGTTTCGTCAACAACCGGTTCTACTAATTCAATATTGTCTGGCGGTATTTCGTTTTATTCAAAAGGTCTCCAAAATGCCATGTTGTAATAATATTAGTAAACAAAATATCCCTCTTATTTCTCCCTTTTGCAATTGTAATATGAATGATTAGTAGAATGTGCCTATAATAAATTAAAATTACCTGAATCACACCAAATTCCGCATTGCTGCACTGCACTGCTAGGAAATTTGTCGACAACTGAAATTTATGGCTGGTTGCCCAGTCCGGCTGTGTTTGTTTGTCGTTTGCCTGCGCGCGCATTCTTCAACTGAGCGACCACACCTGTTATATGACTATGGCCAGTGACTATAACAATTCTTGTTATAGTCACTGCTATGGCTAAATAAATATAGGAACGAGTTTTTCATAGTCATAGAAAACGTTTAAATAACTCATTTGAATTCTAGCTTAGCTAATGCAATAACCTTAAATCAACATTTTTTTTTGTAGGTAGTGGAAAATGCCGTGAAAATATACAAAGGAACCAATCCAGAAGTGGACTCTTATTCAGCATTTTGGGACAATTCGAAACTAACTGACACAAAACTAGATGCTCAGCTTAAATTGAGGAACATTACCGATGTGTATATCTGCGGAGTTGCTTACGACGTGTGTGTGGGTAAGCGACCTAATATTTCAACGTCTTGTATCATTTAGACTTAAGTTTTGACTCAACATAACTCTGATCTATTTATAACCTAGTTTTGCTTTAGCTCTACAAGTTGATTTACAAATTATTCAAAAATATATTATGGAATATACAGTGGGATCCATAAAAATATTAATAGTCTAAAACTGAATCAAAAAGGACATTTCGAAAATTATTAAAAACATATTTGCCTGTCTACCTGGTCGTAGTAAGTTACAGAATCACTTTCAATGCCTTAGCCTTAGCTAGGAATCTTTGGTGTGACCTTGTTGTTCTCGGGCTAGCCTCTGTGGGGGCCGACCCGCTATTAGAACTTCTAGACCCGCCCTGACGTTCATTTAGATTCCTATTGGGTCTGAAGCCGCTACAAACAGATCCTCTGTAACCGGTCTCATTCAATGTTTCCAAAAATATGTATTTACCCGCCACAGGATTGGTCGACTGTAATACCCGACCTAGCGCAATCCACATACAGTCAGTCGGCATGTATAAAAAGTTTACGCGAAAAACCAAATTCGTAAACATATTTGGGCTTGTTTGACCCAGTTTTGACAAACGATATGTTCCTTCTTCACGCTGATCTTGGATAGAACGTATATTATTGGCAGCAATTGGAATAATTACACGTAAATCGTCAGTAGTTTCCACTTCAGTACGAAGCATTTAATGTATTATTTGTCTCCATAAAAAACGTAGAGGATTTAAGTCAGGAGAGCGGGGTGGCTATGCTATCGGCACTCCTTATCCAATCCACATCATCTTGAACTTCTTTAAGGTCATCTCGAACATATTGACAAAAATAGTGGGACGAAATTCATTATCGAATAGCTATCTTCAAGAAATCCGGGCAATTCTTTATATTAAAAACCATTAATTCGATTTAGCAATATGAACGGGTTCATTTAGCAGATGGTCGGCAATGGCTGACGAACATACAAGAAAGGAATAGCGCTGGAACTGATTCCGTTGAATCGCATACGAATTCTCTAATTACCAGACATGTGTGTTATTTATCCCACTTCTTGTAATCTTAGCTTCATCTGTAAATCGGACGTTTTGAGCATAAATTAAAATGTCCGTTAGTTCCTTACTAGCCACGGCCATTTTGAACATTTGTAAGACTGATGTAAACAATAAACCACGGTAATAAGAGCACTATGAACACCACAGTAATACCGAATAAATAGGCATTTGTCAAATAAAATTGGCCGAAGCTACTTGGAGGGGAGCGCGCAAGAAATTGAAGATACATACATATTACAGTCGTCCAGCTACGTAGTGCTTATAAATGCAACATTTTTTCCTCACAAATCTGTAAATATTTTTTTATCTGGCTGCTATTTCAGGTGCCACTGCCGTGGATGCTATTTCGAGTGGCTTCCGCACCATCCTCCTCGACGACTGCAGCAGAGGCGTGGACCTTCAAGACATAGAAAGGACAAAGAACCACGTGGTAAAGAACCACGGAATCGTCGTGGTCTCAGATCGGGTGAAGAACATGGTCGAGGGGAACGACAGAAGACCCGAATTAGGCTACAAATTGGCCCTGAACTTAAAAGAAAAACAAGAATCAACCTCTTAAGCTTCCACAGTACTTAACAGCTTATAAACTGTTCCAATTCTCGTAAAGCTTTTAAGGAGTACATAGTGAGCAGTAGTACTTAGATTTAACTTATTTTTCTATATTTAAATGTAAGACCTACTTTTTTAACTTAAAGCTTTCAAAAAGTGTGTGTCACACTTCAGTATTTTTTCTTAAAATATGAATGTTGAAATATGATGTGAAAGGTTCTGTTAAAATTGAATTAACTTTAGCTATAAAACTAAGAATAATAAGGTGGTAAGTCTGAAAGACTGACATGTTATATTCTTATGGAATAACTAAAAAATGGTTGTTGTGTAACTTGGGCCTTAGGGCCAAGAAAGTAGTGTGAAGGTAAAGTTTTTTTTATATTTATATGGAATTTAAGTCTCTCAGATTAATTTAATGTATATTAAGTATTTATTCTCAATCATGACAACATATTTACATTTGAAATTATATATTTTCCTTGAGCATATTTTACATATAGTCTAACTACTCGTATTATTAGAAAAACATATGCATTTGCATTTTTCCCACATTCTCTTTTACTCTGTATGCTCTGTATACTACTGTAACTTTTATATCTTGCTCACTATATAGTTCTAGTAAAATTTTAAGCAGATTTGTTAAGTGTAGCATATTTGTAAAAAACTTTGTAAATTATTATTCAGTAATGTCAAATTATTTATATAGTTTTATAAAATTAAACATATTCTAAATGAAGAAATTGAACTCAAAGCACTGCAAGAACTACATCAGAGCAAAACCATTCCTAATTATATTAATGAAAGTATTTAGGGTAGCTATGACAAATGTTTGCAAGAAAACAGTATTTTTGTGTAGGTATCATTTAAATTTTGTGGGTAGTTTTAGCATAAGGAAGAGTACTTCGCTTATATTTGTGCTTCTTTAGGGTTGCTCTATATTTAGAGCCTTTATATTTTAACGATGATGTGATATAGGGATAGAATATAGCATTGTCAACCATTAAATGCATAAATGAAAAAGTTATTTTTATTTGTTTACCTCTGTTATAAAATTTGCAAATGTGCGTAACTATTTTCATATATCCGTAAATATTTACACAGTACGTTCCGAGGTAAAAAATTATCTCAAGATAAATACAGATATCTATTTTAAAACCGCACATTTTATCTCTTCCTGTGTATAAATAAAAAAATAACTGGAAGTTCTTTCCTACGACTTGGGTATTTATGGTTGCCTATAAATCTTTGATATTTCCACACATGTCTTCAACTTATCTATATTGTATACAGTGTGACCTACAAAGTACCAGAATACTCCTCTAATGTTTTTAAGTAGCCTTCTGGATATACTTGCTGAATACATTATGATGAACCAGTTGGCCTCCTGCGATTTTTTTATCAGTAGCGGTTTTTGAGAAAATCTGGATTTTTTATTGAAAATTCGACTTCTTCAGTCGCGGCGAAGCTATTGCAGTTTCACCACCGAAGATGGAGGCAGTGAAGAATGGTGAAACGTTTGAAGTTGGTTACAGATTCCACTGAGGAACGTCTCAGAGGATTACCATTGTCTGAGGAGTGGTTCCGTCAGTAGCGACCTTACAAGCAGTAATAAAAACCGAAATGAACTCAAACTGGGTTTATATAGCGGGTCCGTCCCCACAGAGCCTAGACCGAGAACGACAAGAGCAGTAAGTAACTGGCGGTGACAAGTCTTAATTCAATTTAAAAATCTAAAAAGAATATTCTAAAAAATTACCAACAATGATGATTATAATAATAGAAAAAATAAATTAAAATTGTAAAAACATTAGGTCCTGCTTAAAACTACGAAAATAATGTATATGCAGTTTGTACTACATATTTACAAATCACATAATCACCAGTGTCAGTGATTGGTAAATTTTTCATAATTTTTAATTTTCTAAGACTTCTAGATTTCCAAACTAAAATGGAAACTTAAATTTTTCCTGCTAAAAAAATATTTTATTGTAAACTGAAGTAATTTAAAATAGAGGGGTTACTGATTAAGAAAGTATAGCTCGATTATTTATAAAAATATTCCAAAATGACTTTCTTAAAAAGAGTCGTAGCGCCAACTAGATCATCGAATTGATTTAGCAAACAAAAAAAAACATTCAAATTGTACGTCCTAAAAAGAAAATTCTAGGCCTATATATACTGCATATCGAAACACTAGTTCATATTTTTTACTATATTTGAAAGGTATTTATTTCATTCAAACAAATTCAATTTTTTTTTCAAATAAAAGTTTATTCCTTTCTTTAATTGTCTTTAAAATCCTGGTCCGATATGTCCAATAGTTAATTACCGATTAACGTTATAAAAAAAGTTATAAGTATTGGTAAGAAACCGGCGTAGGTGATTTATTTTTTTAAATTACCGTAAAAATAAGCTCCATTCAATGAAAAAAGAGCGAATTCCCGAGCGGCTTTAGTCTGACCTTGGGACAATTTATTTATAACGCTGTTTTGCACATCCTAATTCGTTAGCTGTACAGAGCAACTTAATTTCAACTTTTTGAAATTTTTCTCTTTCGATACGTTTCTTTGGATCAATTAGCAACAATTTCATGGTCAATCGAATCGGCCTTTGGCACACATGTGTGGTGATTAGATTGACGGTCTTTTCCATAAATGTCATGAACATCCATCGCTTTTTGCGATAATAATGCGCAATTTTCGAAAACTGATTTTCCCACGTTCGACCTTTATTTTACAGCTAACAAATTGGTGAAATATCACTTTAGATATTGTGTTTCCGATCACAATTGAAGAACCAAGAGGTTGGCAGTTTGTATCAGGTTCGGTTGCTGACGCAGCATCTCGGCAATGAAATATTTGAAATACTTATTCCCATATTTATTTAGCTATACCCATATACAGGTCTGGTCGCCCAGTTGAAGAATACGCGCGCGGGCAAACGACAAAAACACAGCCGAACTGGGCGACCAGCCATAAATTTCAGTTGTCGACAAATTGCTTAGCAGTGCAGTGCAGCAATGCGGAATTTGGTGCGATTCAGGTAATTACTAATATTATTACAACATGCCATGGAGACCTTTTGAAACGGAACAAAACGAAATTTACCATAGATATAATAAAATTGTTTGGGGACATAATTAAAATATGTTTTTGGTCAAATATATAATAGAAATTTTCTATACATTATATACAAATAATTATAATTTGCAGAAAACTTTTTTTAGGGACGCCTATGAAACATTAAATTTTATTGCTAGGCGTTTTTATACATGTTCAACTGACTTCAGAAAGACTATACCTTAAATGGTACCTAGGTACCTTAAACCTAATTTTCCGATAGGTTGTGAATATTTTCATAAGCAGTGAAGTGTAAAAACAAGTAATTTTGCCATTTATTTGTAATTTGCCAACTTAGCGTTACTTCTTTCGAGTTAGTTTTTTGGTATTATCATACTACATACGCTTTACCGTCATAAAGTAATAAAATGATGTCCACTAATATTTTTTTAGGTACAATAATTCGACTGGACTGGATTATATGTAAATATAAAGCTTTTAGATAAAAACAAAATCAGTTGATTCATTTGGTAACTTCCACAAGCATATATTTCCCACAATGTTCAAAAATAAACCTCGTCAAAAAATGCAACTGAATGAGGAGGTATTTATTACCTTTGATTTTATACAAGTCAAAAAAGTATATGGGACACTGTTTTTGATAAAATCCTATTTTTTTACAAATGCATTGAATAACTTGAGCGTATTGAAATGAACTCGCAATCTTGCCTTGTTTTGAATTTATTTTTATAACGTAATGTAAATATGGCGAAGACGAGGAAGAAAGAATTTGGAAAGAAAATGGCACGAATTTAATCTAGAAAACAGGACCGGGGTATATTAAAATTTAAATTATGTATTCTAATATTCTCTGATCCACTTTCGTCCTACCTCAGCTCATCAAAAAGCCGAGATAAGTTTATATGGATTCGACACGAGCAACAACATAAAAAATGTAGGTGAAAATCTATTACGTTGAAAACAGCCTACGGTTCTACGAGAGGAATTTTTAAAAATATATTTTGTTTTGAAATATTCTTTAACATTATAGGTACAGGCAAATAATTTTGTAATTTAGTTAAAAATACACGATTCGCTGGCAGATTTAAATACCTATAAATTAAATCACTGCAACAGCAAAAAATCTAAACTTTTTTAAACTGATGGAATGATTTGATACTCCTGGAAAGCACTTAAGTAAATGAATAAATCTTATACAAATTGGATTAAAAAATACATCCTTATTATACAGACAGGCGTTGCAAAAGCACGACAATAATTAAACAATTATAGAAAGTGCGGTTATTTTCTTACTGTATCGTATTAATTATCTTAATATTAAGTGAGTGGTAGTTAATGAAAACCAGAAGCTTTTACGCTTGGATTGGCAATTTTTATTTTAAATTAAATGTGTAACAATAATATTAATTTTAAAAACTGGAACGCCAAACAATCGTATACATGTAATTTTTAATGTTAACAAGCAGAAAGCAGTATAAATGCTGTTAAAAGTAGATGATTAAGGTGGTTATATAACGAGCGTTCAAATAAAAACGTGGTCGAAGTTGGCTCTGACACACTGGACGTAGGGAGTAGCTTATAGCGACCAACTTAACCTCATTTCTCAACGAGCTGTATAGCAGCTGTCAGTTTCAATAACGTTAATGACTATATAACTTTATTTTAAAGAATAATCGTGATAACAATAACAATAAATTAAAGCAGCTGCTGAAAGTGTCCCCCTCCTTGTTCCAAGCACGTTTCACACGTGTTCCTCAAAGAATTAAAGACATTTTCTAAGATGCTCGGGGTATTGTTAATTTCACGAATCTTGTCTATAAGTCGAGCCTGCAGATGGTTTAAATCAGGAATAGGCAGTTCAAAAATAGTGTTTTTAAGGTAAGGCCACAAAAAGAAATCACACGGCGTAATATCACATGACCTCGGTGGAAATTCATGTTCAGCATTGAGACTTATTAGTCGATTTTGGAAAACTTCCCTCAACATATTCATCGTCTCGCCTGCCGTATGTGCCCTTGCGCCATCTTGTTGAAAGTAAAAGTTTGTAATTTCGTTTTCTTCCAGCTGGTTAACAAAACGAGCGATAATTTCTTCTCGATACCTTTGCGCAGTAAAAGTATCATTAAAAAAAATAGGTCCATAAATCCTCCTTCGATTGAGAGCACACCAAACTCCAATTTTTTGAGCGTGTAGAGGGCCCTCGACAAAAAAGTTATCTGGTTTTTCAGACGACCACATTCTCATATTCTCTGAGTTTACGTAACCACTTAAATGAAACTAGGTTTCATCAGAAAAAAAGGTGATATTATGAAGTTCACCGTAGTTGTTTAAAAACCATTCACAAAATACAGCCCGTCGCGGAAAATCAACTTCATGAAGTTCTTGCTGACAAGTTAAACGATAGGAGAACAAACGCAAATCTTTTTTTAACACTGTGTGGCAGGTACCGACTGATACTCCCACCATTTGTGATAAAACACGTACAGAAGTTCTTGGCGCATTTTCCATTATTTGTTGGACATTTTATTTTAATTCTTCAGTCCGCTTTTTAGGTCGGCCGCTTCCTTCTTTTCTTGTTATACTGCCCGTTTCACGAAAAACATTAACACAACGCTGAACTGCACTTTGAAAAATTTTGTACTCAACAACGCCGGGAAATTGATTTTGAAATTCTATGAAACATTCCTCAATAGAATACTTCCATATTCCATCAATCTTGCGTCCATTTCTAAAGTAGGACTCTATGATAAACACTTTTTGTTCTTGAGAAAACACTATTTTAAACGCTTTTTAAAACGAAAATATTCAAATTGATAGCGGCGATATAGCGCTTTGACAGATGACGTTTAAGTTCATTTGCTATACGCTACGCCCTACGTCCAAATTTTCAGAACCAACTTGACTACGTTTTTA